CCCAATCACATATTGTGTCAATACTTATCATTTTATTTTATCGTAATTTAAAAACTTGGAAATTGTACGGTACACTATAGGAACTACGATAAATTTTCCCTAATCGGCGCCATGTTTTTAGGCTCCTCCCATTTGACGAATCCCAATATAGGACAGTATCTTAATTATTTGGTTAAAATTGCAAGCTAACACCTATTAGTAGGTTAAGTAAGTCAAATACAGCTATCGTTTAAATAGCGTTATCAATAAATAATCGATAATTTGAATTTAGGTTTGAAGAATTACGAGAAGCGAGTAAGTTAGGGTGGCGAGGCGGTTTGCCGTCTTTCTGACATTTTCTTCGTTTCTTCAATTACTTAATACTAATAATTTGAGAGCGCAAATCTTATAACTTAGAAACCTAACCCTAAAGATGTCTCATAATTGAGGCGAAACGTAGGTTGTTGGTTTCGTATAAATAAAAAACCTTTGCTCAATATATAACTTGATTTCCTACCCTAAACAATACAATTTTGGGGAAGAAATGGCAACAAAATTGGATGTAATTATTACATTACCTTATTTAATTATTTATTTATTAACTAAAATGCTTATTACGTATAATGTCTGGCGCCTCCACCGTGTTGTACGAAAAGCGTTTATGAATATTATTTAAAAAGATAGTTAATTTAATGTTATGAATAAGCGTTAAAATAGCAGGTACAGTTACAAAGTGATATTCTGATTAGCAACTGTGTTTAGTAAACTTTTGAATATAAATGCACATTTAACTGGTAAAAAAAAGGCGGAAATCGTTTCAAAACTGAAGAATGATGAAAACTGTACATACGTGTCTCTATCTCTTTACCTTCGCATGTAACGGCTGTCGGATATAACAATGAAATTACAGTAGTCCCTTTTGTCGTCGTTACACCCGAAATCCACTGTATTTAATCACCGCTCGTTGTTCGATACGTTCTATTTTGATATTACAATGTTATATGAATCTCCCCAAAATTGATCATCTACTACATACAGGATTTAAGAGGTTCAGACTTTTAATTTTGTAGCGTTAGTCTGTGTATAGGATGTTATAATGTGACGTAAAAATAAATAATTATTTCAGTTTATAATTGGGTCAGGGGCGGAGCAAAGGGATCAACCCTTGTATATATACATATTTATGTGTATACACTATTCATTGTATATTCCTATTTGTAATTATATTCATTAATAGAACATATTCTGTTCAGTTCTGAATCACTTATTCTGTCTGCAAAACCATTGAAATTTTTACTTGAATTCTTGAAACTTCGTTAATTGCGCAGCGCCGTGTTTGATTATCTACTGCTATCTACAGTAGCAGGAGAGTGTATTATTAAAATTGAAAAGGAATTTCTTCTTAATATCCCGTCATTTTAAATAGGATCAAACAGTACCCTAAGCTAACGAGTTTTATGGTGTTGCCGTGAAAAATTATAAACCATATCAATAAGAAGTAAAAGATCAAGGTCAAGGGCAAGCTTGCGTACACCGGCGATTGTAAATTCGGCCGATTTAATGGTTTTTGTTAATTACAGTGGTAAATTTGGCTCGAAACGGTTCGTGGCCCTCAAAAATAAACTCAGCCGGTTTGTGCCCAAGTAGACGCAGAAAATGAAAACAACTTAGGAGTTTCAGCAAGTAGATATCCATCTATTTAAATGAACCTTGTTGGAGCATACGTAATCCTAAAATGTAGCATCTTACTACAGATGGCGTTTACAGCGCCATTTGTAGTATTTTCTAAAACGCGCTGTTAAGACAGCAGGTAAAAGTTAGTCTGTGTTGTGTCGGAGCTGTCTGTGACGCGCTGATGAGATCCAAAAAGATCGAAGTCGCGATCCGCGTCTGGCAGTTTCGACAGAATACAGACCACTTCGAATTATTTTATTCGATTATGGTAACGTGCCTATCA